GGTGGTGCTGATACTATTACTAGTAGCAGAGCACCAATGCTGGTGCACTGATCCAGTGTTGCTGCTGCTTGGTGCTGGTGTTACAAGTGCTGCAGCTACAGAGGACACTGATCATGGTAAGGCAAGTGCTACTCATAAAGCACTCCTGTTGATAACATGATTGCTTCTGATAGTATTAGTATACTAATGCAAGAATAACTGTAGCTATAAGCCTATCAGGTCCTAAAGGGAAAAGGGGGTTATTGATAGTACTAGTAAAACATGTGTTAATTTGAAACCAGACATACCGCCAGTACTGAATTCTACTACAGGCTACTGGTTTAGGTCACTATTTTGATCCAAACAGTTCAATGAACAAACAAATAGTACAATGACTTGTCAATAGGCCCAGAGCAGCAGCTACTATTTCAGGATCTGCTTGGTCCTCATAGTGTTGGGAAGAGTGCCTTGTGTAATTGTTACACATTTATAGGCCAAGGGGGGGGGGGGCAGCCAGTTCTTAATCAGGCGGTAAGGCCAAATTTCGCTAGTTGTGGAGAGGAGCTGGTGGATGTTTTTAAAATTGGCCAGAACGTAATTAAGAATAGCTGAAGACCAATTGACGAAGTTCTTAGTAGTCCAAGTTKATGTAATAACTTGGACATCAGTATCCTTGGGAATTCAAAGGATGCTCTAGAGGCTTAGACCTAACTTGCCAAAGTAGCACTAGCTATTATTGGCCTAATTTTGCGCGTTCATCTGGGGTGTAATTTTAAATTGAATTAACTCTTATCGTCGTTACTCTTCAAGCCCTTAGTATAGCATTCATATCTACACAGACTTCAGCATTCGTGTTCAGTCGACGCATTTTTCATGGCAAATTCTTGTTCCAGTTGTCCTTCAGTCTTTGTCACTTGCGTTGCTTGATTTCTTCTACTCCAAGAAACATAATGTTTATTTCTTCTTGGGAAAGAGCGCCTCCTCAAAGTGCTTCCACAAGATACTGAACAATATTCCCTGCATACCGTTCGCAAGGATTTTTGTTTCGAGTCCCCGGAAAAATAACCCACTCATACCAGACTCCTGAATCACGTTCCGAACAACCTGGGTGTACGTGATCTGCTCGGGATACGACTGCTTATAAACCTTGCAGACACGGATGGAGTTCGAACAGGTGTCGCTCACGGCCGACGAGCAAAACCCAAGGATGGCCCGGCGTCCAAGCTCGGAGAGCTGATCGTCCTGCTTGGGGATGGTGGCGCTCAAAAAGTTGTAGGTGAAGAACCAGGGGTAGTGGCCAACAAATGTGGCCGAGGCGGCAGCAAGAGCCCCGTTGTAAAGTGCTAGTGGTCCATTGGCCTTGACCTTGTCCGTAACGGCGGAGAACTTGCCAGTGACTTGCATTGTTGTCTGCAAATCGAAATGTTTTCAATGCAAATAGAGAAGCAATGCATACGTTTGTTGTAGAGGTTGTTGCGTACATGGATGGTGGTGGTACGGTTGCAGACCGATAGAGATGGAAAGACATTCAAGTCACGACAGTGATTGCAATTGTTTACAGTTCAATGACGGATCAATCGATAGATATTTGTTCGTTGGCAATATTATGAAAAGTTTGTCAATCAATTTGGTTCAACCAACAAAAAAGTGTGTGAAGACAGTGCATTGATATCATTTCGATTGAAGAATCAAAATATAATGAAATGATATTGATTCAAATGGAGTACCACGGCGTTTATTGTTGTGTGTGTTTCGTTTGTTGTGGTTAGATATTGTGGTTTGCCCAAAAAAATGAAATGCGAAGAATAACGTTTGAAAGAACGGAACGTGTCAGAACCAACAAGATGAAACAAAGCAAGATCAGGTAGGATTCAATGTGAACAACGTACCTTGACGGTGTCGACGGGCATCAGAAAGATTCTCCAGCCGGCGGCGGCCGCAGAGGCGGCCGCGGTCTTCGCGGCGACCGGGAGGTCCTTAGTAGTTTCGATTTGGTTGAGGAGGGTCAAGACACCGGTGTTGGCGGCCGTGTCACCGAACCGGGACATGGGCCCCTGGACCAACGCGGGGAGGACACCCCTGTAGAACCGCGGAATACCCCCGTCGGCGTAGAGGTGGCGTAAGGCCCCCAAAAAGGTTCCGCCATTGCGGTATTGGTAGTTGACCTAATCACATCGTATCGATTGCATTTGTATTGGCGTGTTGTATTGAATTGCAGGCGTAACAAAAATACCAATTGCGGTGTACATCCGTAGGCATCGACGTTAGTTTTGTTGAAACCACAAAACAAGGTGTGTCGTTTTTGGGCGATGGCGTGTGTAGAGGCACCGTGTCGCGAATTTCATCACGGATAAAATTTTCCACAAGCAGAGAGCCGAACAAATTGTGCATTCAATCGTTTGTACGACCGTTCGAGAAGGAAAGAATCACCCACAATCATTATTACGGCAAAGACAAACGATCAATCATACAAGGAGAAAATAAACAGTTCATTGTGTTGTTAGTGTTGTTGTTTTTGATCCTGCATTCTATCGTAGGGTGTTTTCCAGATGGCAAGTAGTCAGATAGGCAGTCAAGCATTAAGTCGATTGCACACCGGGTCGGTGAAAAAAGGATCACAGCTCGCGAAATAAGAACTCGACGGGATGCTGGTCAACTCGACTGAAAGGATTCGGTTTTCCTTTGGTTTTCCTTTACAATCCCTGGTATGTTTCTCCTTGTCACTTGGCGTGTTTCACTTTGTGCATTTGTCATAGCATACTCACGGTAGTTCTCATCCACATGAGAGCGGCAACGTTGGCTCCCATGGCCACGGCACCTGCGGTTCCGCCACGAATGGCAGAAGCCGCAGATTTGTTCATAATTTCCTTGAAAGTAGGGGCTGGTTTCTTTGAATCGTCCGACATTTTTGTATGTTGTGATTGAGTTGAAGTTTGTTATTGTGTAGAGTATGGATTCTAGCGTTCAGCAGAAAGTTATTATTATTATTCGCCTGGGTCACTTTTTTTTCGACAATCGAAAATGAGGTTTAATGACGCTTGTGCAGTAAAATCAAAACCGAATGTTGTAATCCTACGGTACGTACCGTAGCTACGGTAGTTGAAGCGAGAAAGCGGTTCCCGTTTTGACAGAACTTATTTTATTGCGTACGGTATCCTTTCATACGGTAGTACGATATGTGACGAAGTTCTACGAATTCAAAATCAATACATCGCTGACGGATGTGGAAACGAGCACGAGTATGCCTTGAGCCTAAAAGCAGTGTACGATGTCCAAGTAGGGTAGTACCGTACTCTAGGGCTAGGAAATGAGATGAGTGTTGTAAGGTACGGCACTGTACTGTACCGTACGGTACGGTACAAACGTTTCTGTTGGAAGCATGTGCACGTGCAGGACGAACCCCCCAAAAGATCAAAATCTTCTACGTACCGTCCATATCCGTTCAAGGAGTCACACAAGTCGGCTGGTCATTGTAGTCCGAACCTTCGGGATGGGGGGGGCTTGGGCTTCTTCTATCCCACAAGGAAGTTAAAATGGTACTATGACAGCTAATTTTAATTTCCCAAAGACTCTTTCACTCCATAGTGATTCCGCTTCCTCAGTCAGAATCCCAAGCAAGGTACAGTAACTAGTACCAGCACCTACGCACCGTACAGTACTCGTACCCTACGGCGAGAAAGAACGCAACAAAAATAAAAAATAAATGAAATGACGTCATTTTTTTGATTCGTGCCGTACGGTACGGTAGAGAAATCTTTTTACTCGGATACAGTAAATATTTAAGACTGATTCTGCACAATGTACGGTACGAGTCTCGAAATCACAACGCAACGTTCACAGTTCATAGGGTACGTGCGTACGTTCCGGTAGATACTCAGTATCCGGTATCCGTATCCGTACAACTGTTACTCGTACTGATACACAGGTGTTTGGAGGGGGATTTTAAACGGTTTTCGGCGTTAATTTAGAGTTAGGGATAATACTAAAATTCGGTAGGAATCAAGCAATCTGATTGGCTAATTAGACAGATCAAAATATCAAAAACTGTACAGTATTCCCCCTTGATACCCAATTTTGTCGTAGAATCCTACGTGAGATTTGTACCAGAAATCAATATTTGCTTGTTTTTTTGCTTGATTTGGCAGCTATCCTCCTCTTCTTGTMTGTTGGCTCTTCTTGTCTGTTGGTGTCACCATCGATCGCACCAAGCGCCTCTGTTACTGATGGAAAGTCCACGATAGAATGATGATAGTCGATAGCGTGGAAGATGGTAGTCATTACTATTAGCGTGGAAGATGCAACAGATAATACTAAAATGGTTTCATCCTTCCACGATAGCAGCAGCAGCCAGTAGCAGGCGACAGCGCTAAGAACGGCTGCTGTACTCGCCATATCGATTGAGTGATACTAGCAATCCCTGCTCACAATTCTAGAATGAATGAATTGACAGCTCTTTTTGCTARTWGTAATCTAACCACCATGGGAAACGAAGTATCTAAAGAAACTATTGCTGCTGCTTCTGCTGCTTCTGCTGCTGCTGCACAACAAGGTTTACAACAAGGAAAGGGTCTGGGCGACACGACTTGTC